GCCGCTCTGGTCGACGCAGCCGCCGAAGCCATAGACGTTTGGCCGGCTCCACCACGGCTTGCAGGCGCAGGGCGGCAGCGGGGGAGGGCGGCTTGGCGGCGGCGGCGGCGGCAGCGAGGGCGAGGGCGGCGAGGGCAAGGGTGGCGGGCCACGGGGAGGAGACGGCGGCAGGTGCGGCGGCGGTCTCGCGGGCGGCAGAGGCGGCGTGGGCGGCGACGGCGGCGGCGACGGCGGCGGAGGGTACTCCCAGCCGCCGAGGTTTGTTGGCTGCGCTTGCCACGAGGAGGTGGGGAGAGGTGCGGCCTCCTCGCCCCAGCCAATTGCAGCAGCAGGGCGGCGGTCGGTCGGAGCTGCAGCGTCCTCGCCCCAGCCAGCCGCCGCAGCAGGGCGGCGGTCGGTCGGGGGTGTGGTCTCGCCCCAGCCAACCGCCGCGACGGGACGCAAGTCGGTCGGAGCCGCAGCCTCGCCCCAGCCAACCGCCGCAGCGGGGCGGCGGGCGGGAGGAGTCGCCTCGCCCCAGCCTACCCGGCCGCTCCGGTGTCCGAGCCTCTCGGATGCGTACGCCTCGCACACCTCATAGGTCGCGTCAAACGCGTAGCCCACACACGCAGGCTCGGCGTCGCAGGCTGCGGCACAGGCGGCGTCAGATCTCACTCCGCGGATGTGGAAACTGCGGTGGACATCGTCACTGCTCCCGTCCGGCCCAGAGCTTCGAGACGGCTCCGGATCCGCTGGATCGTCCTCAGCACACGTCTCTCCGCTGAACCCCTCTCTGCACAAGCAGCGACCGTCCACGCAGCGGCCTTGGCCAAAGGCGAGGTGGCAGTAGCTCAGCTGGCGGCAGTCTCGAGGAGCAAGCATGCTGTGAGCGTCCTGAGGCTCGAACGAAAACGAATCCTGGTGCTGCGGTGGCGGGAGCTCCTGCCTTGACCTTGGCGAGAGCTCCTGCTGTGCCTCGTCCGGCAGCGACCAGCCCTGCTCATGCCCGGCTTGCGACAGCGCATCGTCGGAGAAGCCGAGCGAAGCCGAAACCGAACGCCAGTCGTACAGGAGCAGAAGCAGCGGAAGCAGGAGCATCGGCAGCGCGTTGCAAGCACGCTGCGGGTTTCTCCGCGGAACGGTGAGCATGGCGGGTAAGGCCCCGGGCGGCCGCAAGGAGCAAATGCGCACTGCTCCAAGTGAGTGGAGGACCGCCGCTAGGCCTGGCGGTTGTGCTAGGAATTCCCTCTGCGCTACGTACGTACTTTTAGCTTACTGGGAGAAAAGAGAGAGGGGGTTGGGCTCTCTCTCTCTGCGCTTCGTTTTTTCTACACCACCCGGTGTGTAGTACTTCTTGCTTGGGCGGCCCTCATGACGGGGTAGGTAGGGTAGGTCTGGGCCCTCCCGTTGGGGTTTTCCCACTCTTCCTGCTGGAATTTTCACCGCAGAAAAAGAAATTTTCCGCGGAAATCACGATGTCAACAACATGTGCGTGTGCATGTAGGTAGGGCCTGAGAGTGGCCTGCCATGTCATAGGAAGGACTGTGGTTGCAGGAGAGTACCACCAACCATCACTTCGTTGGTATAGTACCTCACCTTCACCCATCGAGTGATTTCTTTTTTAGTTTCCCATAAGTAGGGTAGGTAGGTAGGTAGGTAGGTAGGTAGGTAGGGGCAGGGCAGGGGCCGCCCAAGCAAGAAGTACACACCTGCGTAGTCCCCGGATGGTGAGTGGGTGGGTGGGTGGGTGGTGGGTGGGTGGTGGGTGGGGTGGGTGGGTGGGTGGGTGGGTTGGGGTGGGTTTGGTCGTTTCTCTCTCCCCTTCGCGCGCGTCTTCGAGGCACAGCTCTCGTCGTTGCCACAGCATGTCGTTCCTCGCACCGTGCCCACGCGACGGCACCAGCTGACCGAGATCGCGCTCCCTGACGGCTGCCGCGTGCCTTACGGGGGCGGCTTACGGCGCGCTCAACAAGTGTCAAGTCATCCGAGGGCGGACTGCTGTTACGCTCGACGAGTGGGACGCCGCTCCAGCAGCTCGAGGGGTTCAAACGCGAGGCGACCATCGTCTCCGCCGAGATCGACGACGAGGCGGCCGTTATTATCTCCTGTCCTCGGGAGGGCGGCGGCGGCCCGGTGCAGAGTCGGAGGCGCGCTCCCGATGACAAATATTCGCCTCACAGTCAAACACGGCTGCTCGCACGCCCAGCCGTGCTCTGGTGCGTCGCTTGGGACGCCTCTGCCGCCGAGATGTCGAGGCCGGCGCGCACTCTTCGACTTGGGCTATTATCTGCCCTCGGGAGGGCGGCGGCGGCGGTGTAGGGGCGGCGGCGAGCTTCCCGGTGTGGCAAATACTCGCCTCACAGTCCAAGATGGCGGCTCGCGCCCCCAACCGTGCACCAGCATGCCTCTCTAGTCCCGCGTGCCACCCAGATACCGAGGGAAGGGCGCACTCTTCGACTTGGGCTATTATCTGCCCTCGGGAGGGCGGCGGCGGCGG